GAACAACTGAGGTTGAAAGAGAAAGTGCCCATGATCACGCAGCCGCTACTGGATGCTCAGCGCGCCGCCATGACAAATGATAGCATGGGCCTCAGCCGCTTGTCGGCGGACCGGGCTGCTACGAGCGACTGCGCAGAGCGCGCAGGAGAGTTGGCTGCAAACAGTGATGTCGCGATGCCAGAAGCAGAATGGCGCACCTTTAGCAAGCCATCTGCAGCGATGGCGCGGAAGGTTGCTGCGTTTGAAAAGTCTGCCGCTGGATTCAAGCTGGCGCCGGAGCAATTGTCTGCTTGCAGATGGTTTGGTGAGGCAATGGATGTCGCTTTACAGGAAGAAGAGAACAAAATACCTTTGCGAAAACGTGCGCAGCACGCATGCCTTTTGATTGGCGCCGGTGGCACTGGCAAGACGACAATCATTTTGGAGCTCATGCTGGATGTTTTTTGTCACTTTTTTCCAGCCAGGCCCGGAGAAGAAGAGCGATACATGATTGCCACCTTCAGCCATGCCCAATCGGATGCCATTTCCAATGATGTCTATCGCGCGCGAACATGTCATACTGCTTGCTCGTATCGTGTAGCCAGTTTGCGCAACAAGCATTTGGCCTTGAAGACAAAAGAGCAAGAGATGAAACAACGCTGGCAGCCGAAAATTTTAATCATTCAAGATGAAATCAGTTTGGTGCCAGCTGCAGTGGAAAACATGATGCTTTACCGCAGCATGCGCGCCCGTCAAGATGAAGGCCTTGATCCAGCCAGCTATTTCCACCCAGGAGAGCTCATGGGACACATACCAATTTTGCTGATTGCAGGTGATTTTTTGCAGATCAAGCCTGCCAACGAGATCTCCTTAGCTGACAATCTCGAAGAGCTGATCCGCAAAATGCCGCACAGAGTGCAGACAGAACACCATGCTGCCCAGGCGGCATTGATGACCATTGATACAGTGATTCATTTGAAGAAGTCGAAGCGGTTTCTGGATGCTCACCTGCCAGAAATCACAACAGCCATGCGCACGTGCACGCCTGCTGCTCCCTTGTCCGAGAATCACTTGGCTCAGCTGCGCACTCGCAAAATCGAAAATTGCAAGAAAGAACTAACCACAGACTTGTTCAAGCATGGTCACGTCATTGGCATGTATTGGGAGAACATTGCTCGCAGCATGGTGGAACGGGCAAATCGAGATGCGCAAGACCTGGATGTGCCGTTATTTTGTTTGCAAGCTGCTGACCAAAGGCATTCCAGAAAAAATAAAACCATAGACAAGCAGCTGACGCATCAGCTGCTCACTGTTCCAAACCCGCATCGCACTGGCAAATTGCAAGGCATGCTACTGGTGCACGAGAACATGGTTGTGCGACTGGCGGATGTCTTGGCTCCACACCTTGGATTGGTTAAAGACAAACTGGCAGTGGTAGTGAAAGTGGATTTGCACCATGAAGATCAGAAGCGCCTGGACCGTCGTGAACCTGGATTCTGTCATTTTTTTCCGGACTACATGGCCAAAGGTATCTGGGTGAAATTACTTAAAGGAAAGAATTCGCCCATGGAAGATGCTCTGTTGCAGACGTGGGAAGAAAAGTTTCAGAATGTGGCCGATCACACAACTGACGCAAAGACATTGTTCTTTGTGGAATTGGTGCATGCAGAGTTCAAAATTGATTTGAAACTAGGCGAGGAAACGGAGAAAATTGAAGTGATTCGCTGGCAGTTCCCGCTTTTGCATGGCATGCTGCGCACTGCTTACAGCGCGCAAGGCTTGACTTTGGACGGAGGTGTGCTGGTTGATTTGCGTCGTGGTGGTGGCCTAGAGGATGCGGACTGGTGGCTAGCCATCTATGTCATGCTGACGCGTGCCCGCAAACTGAAGAATCTCATCTTGCTGGGGTTCACGGAGCAAGTGGAGGAGCTTTTACGCAAAGGCCCTCCTACCTACGTGCGAGAACTGACTGACAAGTTGGAAGCCAAAGCTGCTTCGACGCTGGAGCGGCTGCAGTCCTGGCCTGTCTATGATGCATTGCAAGCATCCTGCCAGTGGGACCTAATCGGTTTTGATTGAAGAGGTCTGGCGGAGAAATAGAGAGTTGCAGCTGCAGCGATCTGATGAAGTAACACTGGCATGGTTTTGTCGAGTTTACACGTGAGCTTGCGAGCCTTTGACTTTGGTTCAGGGGTCCACTGGCTTGGTTCAGTCATGTTTGTACAAACATGTTTGACAGGCGGCGTGCTGACATGTTTGGGCATGTTTGTTTGTTTGGCTCAGGTGGTCCACTGCCCTGTTTGGTCATGTTTAAACAAACCTGTTGAGAGCTCTGGAGTTTACTTCACATGGTCCACTGACATGTTTATATCCTGTTTGACAGTCTGACCTGTACAATGACCTGCCAGGTGAAACAAATGATTGGGATAGTTAGTTGGGCAAAAGTCCCGTGACAAAAGCTTCAGACAAAAGTGCTGTCAACTAGCTGTTTTGAAATGTCATGGTGGGGATCACTCGAAGTAAAGTAATTGTATTGTAGCCGTTTTATCATGTTTTATCTAAAACACTGGTGTCTTCGATCTTGGATCTTGGCGTCTTCGCTCTCGAGCTTCTCAGAATCGGATCTCGGGCGCCAGGTCCTGCCCAAAATGCCGAGCGATGCCTCGCCATCCGCCGCTCGACTTTTGGCAGAAGCTATCGAGGCCCTGGTATTCTCAACATTTCTCAACATTTCTCAACCTGTTCAGTACAGTCGTGTTCATGTCAAATAGGTGTTGTCAGGATCTCTCAGGTGGGTTGCAGGTTGAGTGGCTCAGTTGTTGTTTCATCATGCAGCGCAGTGAAAATGTCTGAAGCGTCAACGGGAAGGACCTCAACGGTGCCCCAGTTCCAAAGCGAGATCACTTTTTGCAACGCTTTGTAAAAGCTGAGAAGCTCTTGAGGCCCTGCAAACATACAGAAACAAGGTAAACAAACGCGCTGCACAATGGGCTTCGGAGACTGATTTGTTGCACCGCAAGCAAACTCAAAATCAGACATTGATGCAGATGGACTATATATCATACAAACTATTAAATAATAATAGTTTAAGATTAAATTATGATATCATTTAATCTTAATCATACTCAATACAGCACTGGGAGGGCTTTTGCAGAAGCCAGTTGGAGCCAGGTTCGTAGATTCTGGTGGAAAGTTCTCCAAAGCTGAGAGCCTCTTGGCTAGCCTGAATTGAGTCTTGGAAAGGATCCATGAAGATAACTGGCGTCAAGTATTGTTGAGACCACTACCTATATTTGTAATAATCATTATGATGCACTTCTTGGTGTTCAGATGTAGTTCAGGCACTTATACAATCATGATGATCATGAGAGTGGTGGTGATGACTATGATGGTCATTCTTGTTTTCATTACCATTGTTTTCATTCTTCCTATCACAATCATTTTTGCCGGTGTGATACTTACAATGATCACCTTTGACGATCACTACATGTCATGCTGATGTGGATAGCTGCATCTTGACTTCTGATTCCCCATGATGCAGCGACTGAGGCTATCTGGACATTCCAGACCCAGTGTGGTTTTTGTACGAAGTCATTGGTGCTGAGAGGTATCCTAAGAAGGGGATGAGGATACCGGAATGGTGCATGTCAAGATCGGTGGTAGAGAATGTCTTCCAGGAAAACTACAAGCGGATCAATGTCACTTGGAGATTTGCAGTAAGAAACGGTCCCTCAATTTGCAGTAAAGTTCTTCTGACATGTCTCAAAACTGCCTTGATTGTTGGGGGCAGTCTTCCAGGAGACATTTGACAATTTTGATAAATTGGCAGGAGTTTAAGAGCTTGCCTTAGGGCCCTTAGTTTTGTCTTCACTGACAAGTTAATTTCTTGATTAGGGAATTGAGTTTGCTTCTTGCCTTCATACTCTCTCTCTATCTCTCTCCCTCGCTCTCTCATCGAACCGGGGCCGACAGGGTTGGAATCTCCTGCAGATGTGCTTTAGATCAAAGCTACTTGGCAGCCAAAATTCAGTTCCCACTGTTAACATGACATCCTTGCTGTTCCACTGACAATCTATTCGTTACAGCGACTATGCAGGTAGTTCCGAAGAATCAATACCTTCTGCATTGCCTTGCTCAAGTGTTCTAAGAACTTAGAGTGGTACAGGCTATCATTTGCTTCTGACAAGAACTTCGAGTTACGTTGCATTGAGGTCTAAACAGCACTGGCCTTTGCTCTGGTATCATTGGCCGCCCTCTACAAAGTAAGCATTTGGGAAGGGGTGACAGCGAGACATGAAAATGCAGCGTTTGGCGCAGAGATCAATCAGGATTGTGAGGCGCATTACACGGAGACTGAAAACCGAGTGTTTGAATCTGTTTGTCTCCTGGGGCTAGGGGTGACAAAGGTTGATCTATCAAATTGTAAATTGTACACCACACCGTCCTTCTTCACTGACCTTTGTTTTTGTGGCTTGTATGCGGTCATTTGGAGATTCTATGCGGTCGGTCGTTTTGCTTGTACATGCACGATGTCTAGGGTGTATTTTGGTTTACCATCCTGTGGCGTTGATCGTTTTCCGCGAGTCCAAAGCATTGGTCTTGTGGTGGATCTTGAGTCCAATTATCGGGAGACCTTTCAGAATAGAAAGCCTTTGCTCATGATCAATTGGGACGAACAAACAAAATCCAAGTGATTCAAACATTGACTTGATCTCCCCCGTATGTCCAACTGCCTCCAGAGTTATACACACTGCCTATCCATACGGACTCTCCAAATCGCTGTAGCCGAATTGCTTCAGAAGACTGTGCTGCAAGATTGCAATTTTTTCCCAGCATGGTTTGGCCTGATTGACAAAGTAACTTCACCAGAAGCTCTTACATAATTTCTGCTGTTTTGTCCCTTTTCTCAAGCATAAAGCCAGGAAGAACAGAGAGTGTGTTGTACTTTGGACTCAGTACTGGTGTATGCAGCATGGGAGAGATATTGGAGGTACGGTAAGACTTATCACTGTTCTTTGCCGACTCTCTCGGTCCTGTAGGGGCTGTGGCTTGATGCCTGACGCCCTTGGGTGTTGAATGAGCGGCATCATGCTATGCAATCTCTGCGTTGCCGAAGAGGACTGAAGGTAACATGATCAGAATGGAAATTCTGCACACCAGCCGCAGCACCAATTCCATCAATGCCATCCATGCCCAGACAGTTTGCAACAGGACTGGAGTGTGCCGACCTCTTTCTGCAGGTCGTTGCAGCTCTGGGCATGGAACACCTGGGTATTTTCCCTGGATTTTCAGGTGGAAATTGAGTACGCCGGAGTGGGCATCCACCCCCCACAAATGAGTGAGACAAGCAGCTATGACACAAAGAGCCCTTGAAAGATGCTAAGTATATCACCTGCCATTGCGTATAGCAAATTTATGCAGATTTAACCGTGTAGGACAAGATGACCACACGCAATCAGCCCCCCAACTGCTTTCAATTCCATGCCGTGTTTCGTGAAACATGACAAAGTAAACATCTCACAGGAACGGCTCAAATTTGTTTGCCCTCCGGACTCCGGACTGGATGGTTTGACCATATCTCAATTTTCACTGACCCAGAGCTACCCCATTTTGGCTCGCACCCAGCGTGCCAGCAGCGAAGGTCCGCCGGCACGCCTCATCAGAGTGCCCGAATGCGAAAGGTGCGAACGGTGAGGAATGGTTGCATATCTTGCTATCTAGTGTGTATATACATATTATACAAACATATACAAACATATACAAACATATTATACAAACATATACAAACATATTATACAAACATATACAAACATATTATACAAACATATATATTATAGACCGACAAGAATAGAGTATATGTCGAACATGTACATCCATACACTGTATAGAATTACGTATATAGATCGGTTGATCGATAGATAGATAGATAGATAGACAGACAGACAGACAGACAGATAGATAGATAGATAGATAGATACAAGACATGAGTATCTTAGTCTTTGTTTTGGATCTATACTTTACATATTGTTTCTAGATTCTGAAAAGTCAACAAGCAAATTACATTATCTAGTGGACATGTAAGAAACATAAGTATTTTTGGCAATTGCAGAGACTGGGACCTACAGGTTGCCGAGCCTGCAGACGCGTACTGGGCTTGCACTTGGGCCCATTGGAACGCACGCGCCTGCGGGAGGCATTCCGACAGGTGCGGCCGCCCAAACATGCCAAAAATGCTTGGCCAGCTGGTGCCTAGGCTTGAAGTTTAATAACAGATGACCAGGCGGCGTGGCAGCACCACCCCGACTCAGCTTCGAAGCTTGCGGGCGCCAACTTTGCAGAGTCAGGGCCCCGGCAGATTCTCAGTTCACAGTTCTTTCATGTTTTTTTCCATATGTTTTCACGTTTTTTTCCCATTGTTTTTATGATTTTTCCTGTTTTGGTTCATGTTTTCCTGTCCCCAAATGCAGCAGCCGCATCATATCGCATCATCCAATGATGAATGGTGAGTGACTTGCGTTCCTCCATGAGGCTCCGTCGCTGTTACGAGATGCTGCTGCACTGCTGCGGCAAGATTTCAGAGGGAGGCCGACCTGAGTCATGTTAATAGAGCTTGAAACAGCAAGTGGTTGGAAATGGACACATATTTGCAAGAATTCTCTGGTATTCCTTTGGTGATCTTGCCTTGCGCATCCTTGCGCCAAAGACGTTGCTCGCACGCTTTTCTCAGAAACCATGCTTTATGAGCTTGGACAGGCTCAAAATCAGACCTGGCAAAGTGGCTGGAGGAAAGAAGAGTTGCTTTCTGTGTTTCTGGTGCTGATAGCGCCACTGACATTTGGAGAATTATGATGAACTATGAACTTTTTTGGCAAACACCCATCAAACACCGAAGAAATTTCAAGAATTCATTCAATGGATTGGTTAAGGGAATATTGTCAGGAAATTTATTTCATGGGAAAATCCATGGTTTCCATTGATTCCTTTAGATTTTCCCTTCACCCAATCTATTGATTCATATGATCCAGAGACATTTCCGAGTCAGGATCGGCAGACAGCGACCGTTGAGATTGTCAAAAGGTCGCGACAAGGTGGACCTGTTATTGTATTGACAGGAAAAGATCTGCATGATAGGTAAATATAAGCTAATCATGGCTAATATAGGTAACATATGGCAACATGCTTGTTTCCCACCGTTTGGGAATGCTAACACGGCATAGGAGCAGATGTTCAGAGTGTCATTATGGTGAAGACCTTCTGCCGATGTATTGCAGGACGTGTCGCCCGCCAAAGCGCTGGCTTAGTAGGGTGCCCCAAAGTGGGCAGCCCTAGGGGGCATCTCCTCCATTCGTCAGCATTCTCTTACAAGTGAATTTCTTGATCTATTTGATTTTGAGAGTTGCTATGGCAGCCATGCACTGGAAATTGAAATAAGATGGTGATATGAAACTTACCCTCTGGTAATTCAACATAGCTATTGAAAATGGCCATAGAAATAGTGGATTTTCCGATTAAACATGGTGATTTTCCATAGTTATGTTAGTTTACCAGAGGGTAACAGCACGTGCTTTGAAGCGTGGCTGAGGCCTGGGACGCGCGCCTCTCAGCTGCCCGAACAAAGGTACACGGCCCAGAAGCATTGGAGGCACGGAGTCATGGTCTCATTTGGGGGTTGCCTAAAATGGGCGTAGCCCTAAATCATCCAGTCATTAGACCATGACTGAGTGATTGGGGATTCCACGGGATCCCAAAGACCACATTTTGTGAAGCCAAGAGATCCAATCATTTCTCAGGCTGCAAAAATCCTGTCCGAAGGTGGTGTTGGACATTGACCTTCCCAGTGAGTTGCCACGGTTCTTGTGGACAGCGGCAGCTGAACAAGGAGAAAGCTGCTAGATTTTCAGGTACCTGAAAGTAGGGGGGGTCCATAAATGTGGGTATCCCAAAATGGATGGTTTATAATAGAAAATAGTCAAAAATTGATGATTTAGGGCCAGCACCAATTTTAGGAACATCTCAAGGCCGAAAAGCCACTGGCTCAACCACCCTATCCAGATACACCGATAGAACCAGATAGAGCAGTTTGGATGGATTTGGGGTAATTTTCTGGGGGGTACATCCTGGTTTGTTCCAATGCAAAATTGAAAAGCGGTGGCCGGCCTGAAAATTGAGGCAGCAAATGGAGCAGACTCTCTAAATCCTGAAGGGGTAAGATTCCAGCCAGGTCATCGTCAAGAATGCTCACATCCCAATCACCATAAATAGGTGGTATGTTTACCATTCACAAATGGTTGGTTTATTATGGTTTTACGCCACCTATTAGTTTTCAGCTGATTTGGCGCTGTTTGTCTCCGGTCTTGACGAGGAATCGGGCCACTGACTGGACGCGGCTTGAGATTTTGCGGATCCTATCGTCGGGGGCAAGACTTTAACGTGCTGTGCTCAGCTTTGACGGTAGTTTCTGATACTTATGTGAACGACTTATGTGTCCATTTTTTAAGAATGCAACTCATCAATGTTATGTCCTCGTTGCAGTAAGTTGCACTTTATCATTTAGCCATTGGCCTGGAGTGGTGTCTATTCAGACATGGTGTTGGCCTAATTGCAGGCTGCAGCGTCGTATGTGAATCGCTTCGGTTGGATGCTGAGATGTGATCTAACTGCTGCGCATGAGGATAGGAGTTGTGGAATTGTCGAAGACGGCAAGAAGATTCTGAGTCACATTGTGATTCAGTGTTTCTGTTGCAGGAAGACAAGGCTGAGGATCACTTAGGATCACAGTTTGCAAGCTTTCCTATTGCAGACTAGCGGCTAGCGTCTGGATCAACACAGAAACACAGCGAGGCTTTTATCTTTTCTGGAGCCAGCTCTTCAGTGACTGGAAGATTGCGAATCGATTGTCTGAGAAAGGCTTGTGATGCGGAGAAGCCACGGGTTGTGCGAACTCGGAGACCCTTTCAGGTGTACAACAACCGTTCTGCAAAACTATCAATTAAAGTGACAAAGCATCGAACACATAAGACACCCAAGGAAGAAACACTTAATCGACAGCATTGATTCACGTCTCAAAGCAATTTATGCTGAGAATGTGGATGAGAATGGCACACTGACAGGTGCCTGTACAGCTTTTGTGGATGGTGGCTGCTAAGCTGCAGATGAATTGCAGATGAACCATCTCGTTGCGAACACGTACGACATCGTACGACCGTACGGTGCCATGTTTCTGCTGCCTGAGGGCGAGACAAGCCTCCTTGGTCTGTCCGGGGACCCTGTCATGATGAGTTTCACATCGCTTTCTTCTGCTTGTTCTGCACCTATCAACCGAGTTTCCTATCCTTATTATTCCTTATTGCTATTTACATCTATTTACTACTAATTACTTCTTTTTGAGGATGTTTTGACATCTCCAGTTATTTTTTTAATGGTGGGTTTTTCATCTTGCCATCAATTCAACATTCAGGGCATTTTCTCGTGTTGGTCCTTCAGGCCATGCAGAACGGACGTGTTGCGACGTTGCAGTGGGTTCGGGAGCCAGGATTTATCGTTCCCCGTGGAAGATCTTGGAGCGATAAAGGCACCAAGGAAGATCAAGGATGTGAAACAACGGAAAACCTCTTTGCTGGTGAAGTGAAAGGACATGGCAACAGTTTATCATATCAGTTGTAAGTTATATCATATTGTATATATATATATAAATATGTTCAACTTGTACATCAACTATATTCATATACCATTCTATATTGTTTGCTGCTGGAAGACTGGAAGACACATCTTCAGTTTTCATAAAACAGCTAGGGACGCCAGAGACACTGATTTTTTTTTTGTGAAGTTTTTGGCCTCAGGCAGTTTGGGATCCATCCACTGAAAGCTTTGCCAAGCAGCCAGTGCTGGTGAGGCAGATGATGGCAGATGGATAGATTTTTTTCCCGAGAGCGTTTGAGCGAAGGGTTCTTCTAAAAGTGGAGGTCTTCTATACATCTTCACATCTTCACAAACTCACACCTTCACATTTTCACATCTTCTTACCTTCACACATCTTCACATCTTCACATACTCACATCTTCTCATCTTTACATCTTCTCTCTTCACATCTTTACATCTTCACATCTTCACATCCTCACATCTTCACATCTGCACATCCTCACATCCTCACATCTTCACATCTTCACATCCTCACATCCTCACATCTTCACATCTTCACATCCTCACATCTGCGCATCTTCACACATCCTCTCTCTCTCATTCTCTCTCTCTCTCTGTCTCTCTCTCTCTCGCTCTTCACCTTCACGTCTTCACATCTTCTTACCTTCACATACTCACGTCTTCACATCTTCACATCTTCACATCTTCTCTCTCTCTCTCTATCTCTCTCTCTCTCTCTCTCTGTCTCTCTCTCTCTCTTGCCCTGTCACGGTCTCTCTCCTTCTTTTTCTTTTCTCTCTTAAGGCCGCAGGCAGTGACGACGAGGCGCCACGATATGGCCACCCTTTCGCACGAAATGAGGTTCGAGTGTCAAAAACTGAGGGGTTGTTGCGATTTTACCGCTTCCGTGGCAACCTTTTCGCACGAAACGAGGTTCGAGTGTCAAAAACTGAGGGTTTTTGGATGTTTTTGGCGAGTTTGGTTGGTCCGGCGGCGAAACGAGGTTCGAGTGTCAAAAACTGAGGGTTTCTTGCGAGTTTGGTTGGTCTGGCGGCAACCCTTTCGCACGAAATGACGTTTGAGTGTCACAAACTCTTTTTTTTTGCGATTTTACATCCTCGGCGTCAGCCTTTTCGCACGAAATGAAGTTCGAGTGTTAAAAACTGAGGGTTTGTGTGCAAAAGCGTGTGTAAAAGGGTCTGTGCGCAAAAGCGTCTGTGTGTAAAAGCGTTTGTGTGTAAAAGCGTTTGTGTGTAAAAGCGTCTGTGTGTTAAAAGATGTTAAAAGTGTCTGTGAGTTAAGGAGTCTGTGTGTAAAAGCGTCTGTGTGTAAAAGCGTCTGTGTGTAAAGGCGATGGTGTGTAAAAGCGATTGTGTGTGCAAGTGTTTGTGTGGTAAAGGGTCTGCGTGTACAAGTGCTTATGTGTAAAAGTGTTTGTGTGTAAAAGCGTTTGTGTTTAAAAGTGTTTGTGTGTAAAGGGTCTGTGTGTCAAAGCGTCTGTGTAAAAGTGTTTGTGTGTAAAAGATGTAAAAGGGTTGTGTGTAAAAGCGTTCGTGTGTAAAAAAGATTTTGTGTGTAAAATTGTTTGCGTGCAAACGTGTTTGTAGAAGCGTTGGTGTGTAAAAGCGTTTGTGTGTAGAAGGTTGTAGAAGCGTTTGTGTGTACAAGCGTTTGTGTGTAAAAGGGTTTGTGTGTGTAAACGTGTTTGTGTGTGAAGGGGGTTTGTGTGTAAAAGGGTTTGTGTGTAAACATGTTTGCGCGTAAGGGCGTTTGTGTGTAAAACGTGTTTGTGTGTGTAAACATATAGTGTGTGTGCAAAAGTGTTTGTGTGTCAAAGCATCGGCGTGTAAAAGGGATTGTGGGTGAAATTGTTTGTAAGAGCATTTGTGTGTGTAAAAGTGTTTGTGTGTATAACGTCTGTATATAAAAGCGTATGTGTGTGTGTGATACAGTCTTTGTGTAAAAGCACGGTTGTGTGCAAGGCATGTTTGTATGTATGAGAATGCTTGTATATGTGAAAATGTCCGTCTTAATTCTTCTTCCTGTGTCTCCTTCGTGTCATCTTTCCTTTATTCCTCCTTCAATTTCTTCATATGATTCATGCCATGTCTCTTCTTTTTAAGCATCATCGTATATGTATATTTTTATGTTTCATGCCATAAGATCTTCATACTTACACCTCTCACTATGCTCCTCTAAGCTCTCGGGCCATCCGTCATCTAGTTCATTTTTTTCCAGAGTGTATCGGAGAACTTGAGGGACACTTGGCCGAAAACCATGGGAACATAATAAATAAATAAATAAATATATATATATATAATATTATATAATATATAAAATAAATGCAGTATAATATACATATTCATATCAGTTCAAATTCATTGCGCCTATATTCCACTAATATCTACTCCCATCAAATTCCTAACCCCCAAAAAGATAGGCAAGTTATCCCATTCATTTTTCGCATATCAACTCACAAAATGAAACTTAATTGGCATTTGTCAAAAATGCAAGAAGAGGAGGTGGAAATTGATAGGGTCCCGCAACACAAGATTCCTCTTCAAGCTGCCAAGGAAGAGGAGGCGGAGACGCCGATCGAAAAATTGACCCAGGTTGTTCAAGAAAAGGATTGAATTCATCTGGAGAAGGAACCAAACGGGCAGTTTTGACAGGGGCTGGAAAATTTAGCTCGAATATCAGTGGGCAAAGGTGGCGTGGGCTGAGACGTAGGCTACGCGACGCATTGTCACAGCGATTTACCAGGCGGCGGGGCGATTCCGATTGTGGAAAGCGCAGTGTGGATAAGCGCAGGGTATCTACCTATCTACCTATCTGCCTATCTACCTACCTACCTACCTACCTACCTATCTATCTATCTATCTACCTACCTATCGTTCTATCGTTCTATCTCTCTATCTCTCTATCTCTCTATCGATCTATCGATCGATCGATCTATCTATCTGCATGTCTATCTGCATGTCTATCTGCATGTCTATCTGCATGTCTATCTGCATGTCTATCTGTTCTATCGCTCTATCGGTCGATCGATCTATCTCTCTCTCTCTCTCTCTCACGCTCTCTATCTCTCTGTCTGTCTATCTATCTTTCGATCGATCGATCCGCTTCGCGCAGATGGCACGGCATGACTCCTGCAGCTGGACGGCAAGGATGTGCTAGGTCGCCATGTCATGATATCAAGGTGCAGCATGCTTTCCAAGCGCCCGGAAGCTGGCAAAACCCCACTGACGCACAGCAAATCAAGCACGCTGTGGACGTGTTGGGCAAGGAGTTTTGCCCGCAGGGTCTCATCGTGATTTAGTAGACCACACAGACCTTGCAGGAGTCTGGTTGCAGTGCCTCCACGCAGCACTTTTTTGGGCACATGCTGCTCTCATGTTTACCTTTGCTTGCCTTTGGTGTCATGGCACCAGGAGGCCGAAGAAGGAGCAGGCCCAGAGGAAGCCAAGATGGTTTCGTAAGAGAAGAGGACTTCCAATCATCAGAAGCCGAGGAAGAAGCATTTCCACCAGATTCGGACAGCATCTTCATCAAGCCGATCCCTCAATCTTTACCGAAACATTTCCAACTGGATTTTTGCAGCATACCTGGCCAGCTAAACAAGAACTTCAACGAAAGACCCGAGCTGGTGCTAATGTAAATATGCCTTGCGCAATCTTCGTGGAGAAGCCTGAGGATGAAACTTTGGAAGCTTTCAGAAGAAGGCTTGCCAAGCCCTGTGGGAAATTGGTATCGAAACACCACAAGCCACAGTGGGGGAGAGCATGATTCTAATTATGCAAGCTTCATCAAAGTGCGTAGTGAAAGCGGGCGTTAACGGGTCCAAGTTGGGGCCATCTTGGAGCTGAGTTGGGCCGAAGTTGGAGGACTAAGTTACTGAAGTAGAGGCCTTGCTGGCCACAGTTGAACCCAAGTGCAGCCGATGTTGCGGCCATGTCGGATAGAAACGGTGCATTGGGGCGATGTTGGGCCGATCTGCCAAATTCGCAAATTATCACAGCCCCCTGCACTTTTTGGCGGCGGCCTGCTCGATTCGAAACTGCCCCCTCAGCTGAAGCTGCACCAGTGAAGAGAGGATTGTTTGAATCGATCGGCTCCGCCGTTAAACTGTCGGCACATTCGGTGGGGGAGGATTTCCATACAAGTAATATCAAGCAATACTGTACATGGCATGAGGATGCCAACCAAGCCCCAGTCAGAAATAAATCTTTTGCCGCCTCAAACATCTGACATCTCTTTCTCTTCCCATCTTTTGTCTTCAAATTTCCTTGTCATTTCTTCTCATCTCATCATCTTGTTTGATCTCATCTCAACTCAGCTCTTCTCAGGTCATCTCCGCTGGTTTCAGCTCTTCTCAGGTCCAAAACATGTTCCAAAACCGGACCGACGCCCAAAACCACCAAAAAAACAAGTTATAGAAACTTTCTTGGAGGGAAATTGTGAAAGGTTTAAAAGGTACCTTGAGAGCCAAAAACGAGAAAACTCGTCGAAAACTCATCGTCGCAACTTTGGTGTAGCCAGCCCACCGCGAAGTGGCAGCAGCGACTTGCAAAAGACAATCGAACTACGTGTGCAGCAGCAACACAGAGCAAAATTGATGCAGCCAACTTACTGCGAAGTGGAAGCAACGAGTTGCAAAAGACCATGTAACTATGTGCGCAACAGCAACGCAGAGCACTGTGGACGCAGCCATTCCTTTGCGAAGTCGAAGCGGCAAATTGCAAAAGAGAAAAGATTACGTTGGAAAGAGCATGCCGGGAAACCCTTGCACCGCCGGTTTCACTGCGGGGCTGATCCGAAACGGTTCCGACCACCGGGGCACGATTGTTTCTTGCAAAGCGTAGGATTTTGTTCATCTGCTATCTCTCGAGAACGGATTTCGTGCGAGTTGTCCTTCAAAAACGACAAGTTGAAATTGTGAAAACGAAGCTTTCGTGCAAACATGTGCAAACATTCCATCAAAAAATGCAAGTTGAAGATGTGAAAACGAAGTGTGAGTGAGTGCGTGCCTGTGTGAGTGGGTGAGCGCGTGAGTGGCTGAGTGCGTAAGTGAGTGTGTGAGTGCGTAGTGGATCAGTGAGAGGGTGGGTGACTGAGCGATTGAGCTTGTGAGTTACCACGGAAGTTTCTCTTCCAAATCTCCTTTGATCATCAAAATTCTTTAATATGCATTCCCCAAAATGCTTAAGTTTTCATTTTGTGGGTTGGTGCGTGAAAAATGAATGATATATATATATATATATAAGTTGCCTATTTTTTTTAGGGTTGAAAACTGGATGGGGGTTTATTTGTTGTTGGGAGATAGGCACAATGGCTTCTAAATGCTTCTAGCTATATCATACATTATCCAAATAAGAGGTTCTTCCTGAAGTATATACTAAAAGTTGATGTTGGGGATCAGTTTGACTGTATGTTGTTTTGTCCTTTACTGTCCTGCGTGCTGCGATGACCAGGCCGCTTTGATGCTGAAGTAGCAGCAGAAAAAGACACATGCTGGAGCGGCCTTTGCACCGTGCCAAACATGGAGCAATGGGGGGTCCATTTTCAACGTGGAGTTAAACCAATCGTGAGAGAGAGAAAGAGAGAGAGAGAGAGAGAAACAGAGAGAGAGAGAGAGAAAGAGAGAGAGAGAGAGTTGAACAAATATAATGGGATATATTGTCATCCATTTGGCTCAGGTGTCTAAAATGCGATGTGTGCGCCCATATGACATTTCAATAGATTCAATAGGGAAAATTAGGGCCCATATTTTCAGACAACATCGATGAGAATGGATGAACACCTATCAGACCATATGGTCATGTGTCATGATGAATGGATAGACAGTGCTCATTGCATTGGATGTTCGTTTGGCATGTTTGGGTACGAACTTTAGGTGATGCGAATGGTTCACTTGTTTTAACATCATTTGTTTTTTATCGAATTGCAGAGAGAGGGAAAATGACCGCCAATATTTTTCACTTGATGGGTCGCGTTTTTAATCCATGATTTCATTTTGTTGCCACGCCAGCTCAGTCTTGCAAAATAGCAGGCATATCCCATTCCACATTCAGACAAAGTATCCATTGGATTGACCACAAAAAACGAACCCAACTGCAGCCGCAAACTTGATTGGACGACCTCCACTCTTCCTCCAGACTCCAGCTCAACTAAACCATGTTTACTTTGGCCATTTGTGACCTTTTTCCGCTTCCTGGCATGATTTCAGGTGAAACAGGGATAACCCGGAATTGGATGTATAAATTTGCTGTATAAGGCTAAGGAATCCTATATTTATTAAGGGGCTACGCCCCCTGCCGCCGACCCCTGGGAGAGAGTGAGTTTGGAACCCTTCCTGCAGTGAACATCTTCCACAGTGATGGCGGCCGAAGCTCAGTCAAAGTCGCTGGTCTGTTTTCATGTGTTCCATGTGCGCGGAACGCAAGCCACGAACAGAGTTTACAGCTTGGCAACAAGGTCGTGAATATACTCAAGACGGCACACAAGTATGCAACGCATGCACAGCCTTTGCCTTCGTTTGCCGTTTTGCTCATCGCACGAATCAACGCCTGGCCCGCTTGCGCCAACGCGAAACCCGCCACCGGCACGCAGCAATCCTAGAGGACATTCGCAAGGAAATTCAGGAAATACACGAAGCAAGACAAACTTCCACGCGAGCAGAAGGTCCCAAAACGGACACTGCCCACTCATCGAACCAGCAGCTTGCTGTCGGGCCTGACACAGCACCGCCACGACTGCACATATACATCTGCCCGTACTGTGCCAAGTCTGTGCAAAGCCCTGTGGCAACAGGGCGCGTCGATCACCGCCGCGGTAATGGCTGCGGCAAACAATTTCGCGTTACCAATGGCCTGCTCGCAGGTCGCACATATTCGCATGCATGTCCAACATGCGGCACGGTGGTGCACTCAACACTGGCTTCCGGCCGAATTCGGGTAACGCATCGCAATCCCAGCGGCCGGCAGTGTCGCACCAACCAGTGGCGCGTGCATACCTGATGACGTTTCCAGCTTAAGGTTGCCACACCGCACGGCAATGCCCCACAGTGCTTTCTGAACCTACAAGAAAAGTAGCCGTCTTCCAGCTTTCCAAGCTCAGAAACGGCGCCTCCGCCACGCCCAAACAGCAGGGCCCTGAAGGACGGACCGAGCCTCCGGGCAACGGCTCCCACTGCCTAACGTTGCTTTCTGAACCTACAAGAAAACTAGCTCTCTTCCAGCCGTCAAGGCTCACAAACGGCTCCCTCGCCACAGCAAAACAGCAGGGCCCTGAAGGACGGACCGAGCCTCCGGGCAACGGCTCCCAAACTAGCTCTCTTCCAGCCGTCAAGGCTCACAAACGGCGCCTCCGCCACAGCAAAACAGCAGGGCCCTGAAGGACGGACCGAGCCTCCGGGCAACGGCTCCCACTGCTTAACGTTACTAACGTTGCTTTCTGAAGCTACAAGAAAACTAGCTCTCTTCCAGCCGTCAAGGCTCACAAACGGCGCCCTCGCCACAGCAAAACAGCAGGCCCCTGAAGGACGGACCGAGCCTCCGGGCAACGGCTCCCA